AATGTCACTAAATCAGTGATGCATGGGTCTTAATTTGCAAAAGTTGAGTGACCTTCAGTGACTATTTAAGGAAGTTTTGAAGTTCGGTGACCTTCTAGGAGCTTTTTGCAAAGTTCAATAACTATTCGGAGAAGTTTTGAAGTTTGGTGATCTCTTGGGAACTCTTTGGCAAAGTTTAGTGACTATTTGGGAAATTAACCTGTATTTTAATACATACAAAATTAGGTAAGTATGGTTATTAAATCAGACAGTTGGTTAACCAACTGATTCTTAGGAGGCGATGGTTAAGAGTAGAAATGTTAACAAGTACGGCCCTTAGTAGATAGATGATCAGTTAATAGGTGCTATTGACTGTTCGTTTGTTAACTCGATCGTAACACAGATGTTCGATTAATCGAATAGCCCTTAACACGTGGTCAATTAACTGCCCATTTGTTAAGAGTCAACTTGCCAATAAATCATCTGTTAATAAATTGACTCTCAATGGACAGTCGGTTAACCAATTGCCTCATTAGTAAACTACGTCTATTTCATAAATTTGCTCAAAGATTCATAAATTTGTCCAAGAATATGTTCACATCTATCCAAACATGTTAAAATAAAGCCAACATAGATGTAGAACAGGCTTCTAAAAACTGTTTACAAAATTCTTGTATCGTGTTTTGAAGATAAATATGAACGAGCATTATAGAAATTAGTAAAACTTTAGAATTGTATTAAAGATTTCGGTGACTAAAGAATAAAGAGTCGTTGGTTTGTTTGAAATTTGAACTGGATTTTGTGATTTTCTTTTTGGTATTTAAAAGGATATTCGTATCTTTTACCACCAGCTTATTTTAATAATTTTTAAATGTGGGGTCATATTCACACCACATTTTTTATAAATACACCAAATTTTAATTATATTAAATGTCCTTAACATTTATTCATTATCACACTTAGCTCTCGTTTGAGCTCTATTTTATAGTCTATTTGTTTCTCATTTTCATTGTAAAAATGCATTTTGAAATAGTTGATTGTTGAAAAATGTGTGGTTAAAAAATAAGGAAAAATTTTAATTTTGCGTGTAATAATATTTTATTGAAAAATGTATGATTAAACAAAAAGAGAGAAAAATGTATTTTGAAAAAAATGAATATCAAACAAGGGCTTAATGTGTTTTTGAGAAAAAAAATATTTTAGCATAGTAATTTTTTTTTGAATAACTAGTTTTCCGCATTTTTAGGTAATATTAAGTTATTAACATGTCAAAATATCTATTCAATTATCTCAATAAATCTACAAATTTGATTAATTGTTTAAAATGATAAATAGAAATGTAATATTCATATATAACACACTTTTGACATTAAAAAAAATTAAAAGTTTATTACAAATTTTTCTAAATGACGTCAAAAATTTTATTAGATTATTTAAAAAATTAATTGATCAAGAGGAAAAAGTAACAATAAGAAAAAAATTTCTAAAAACGATCGAATTTCTTTTATATATAAAAAATTTTCAGATGTTAAATTATTAAGATGAAAAATTAGTTGGCCTCATTTTTGTGTTGCTATAATTGAAATGTATTTTCTGGGGATAGGATAAATGTTCCATTGATGCATATCTTAAAAATCAAAATTATTGGAGCTCATAAATCAAACATTATTTTAGTTTGAGTGGTTATTTTATATATAAAGGACTTATTTGATGATAACTATATTCAATATAGTTAAACCGTGTAATTAGTTAAAAAAAAATTTATTGTTCGATATCCAATCAATTTAATGAATTTTTTTTTATTTACGTATAATATTATTTTATGAAAGATTCTGCGATTGAAAATAAAAATGAGAAAAATGAGAAAAAAATTTAATGAAGCCAAACACAAGCTAAACCACAGTATAATATTTTGTCACTTAAATGTGGTTGAGATTTTTATTTAATCACCCAATTTTGATATATTTGAATTTAATCCTCCAAAATTTATATACATTTAAAATATTTAATATCGTCAAATAAATTAATCGACATCTTTTTGACTGAGTATTAATTTTTTTCAATATTGTGTTAAGTTTTACTTCGATTTATCGCAACTACTTTTAGGAAATAAACAATATACATGATTTAATATACTCCATATGTATTTGTAAAGATAGCCTATTTGTCAAGCGAGGGAACCTCAAACTAAATACTTGGTGAAAGGTAGACTCAACCGTCTTCCGAAAAGGGGTGCAGCTATGTAACATTGAACTTGGTAAAATGAAATGGTTGAATAATTGAAAAATGAGATTATTACATTTATATAAGGGTAAAATAGATTTGTATAAAAAATATATCAATTATCAAGGAAAAAAGGAAATTATATTGATAAAATTGTCGTGAAAAAATAATAAATATTAATAAAATAATTGATTTTTATAAAGAAAAAAGGACGAGTTATACGCATTTTTTAACATACATGCTTGATGTACGTTTAACTATTTTCGATATTCATTTAAATCATTCGATCTATCTATTATATAGTTCTTGAAATAAATTTCGAGAGAATATAGAATATTTATAAAGATTTATGATATATTTTTACAAAAAAAAACTAAATAAATCACCTAATAAAAAAAAAAAAAACTTGCCTAATGGAGCAACTTTGTGCATCACGGACAGAGCAAAATTGCTCTTGGGTGCCAGGAGCAACTCCTTGCACCAGGAGCAATTTTGCTCCTAGCATGCCAGGAGCAAAATTGCTCTGTGCATCACGGAGCATTACTTCGTGATGCGCGGAGTTGCTCTATTGTTTTTTTTTTTGTCAAATTTTTTTTTTCACTAAGTGACTTATTAGTTTTTTTTTTATATATAAAAATCTACCATAAATTTTCTATATTCTCTCAACACTCATTTCGAGAACTATATCATAAACACATCGAATGATCTAAATGAATAAAGAAAATAGTTAAATGTACATCAAACGTGTGTGTTAAAAAATATGTATAACTCATCTTTTTTTTAAAAATTAATTATTTTATTAATGTTTATTATTTTTTCGCGACAATAATTTTTGATGTCATTTAGAAAAATTTCCTAATAAACTTTAATATTTTTTTAATGTCAAAGGTGACATTATTTAAAAAATTAAGAATTTCGATAGCATGTTAACTTTATAAATTTATCAACAATTGTACGGTAATCGAATGCATAAATCTTCTATATTCTCTCGAAACTCATTTCGAGAACTATTTCATAGATGCATTGAATGATCTAAATGAATATAAAAAATAGTTAAACGTACATCAAACGTGTGTTTTAAAAAATACGTATAACTCGTCTTTCTTCTTTAAAAAAAATCAATTATTTATTAATGTTTATTATTTTTTCGCGACAATTTTTATAATAAAAATATTATGTGGTATAAAACACAAGATCAATTACACTAGGAAAAAAAATTGTTGTACCCAGTTAGGAGTGAATGACTCATCGGTATGCATGTAAGGGTCAAATGGGCAATAATGAAATGCTTCCTGAACGGATAGTAACTGGCATGATAAAAAATTCCTACAATTCGCTGCCATAATTTTTGCCTCCCTTTCTCATAATGCACGAGAAGATTTTCTTTAAAAGGGGCAGCTACAGTAACTCATTTGTGTAAGTCAACAATGGAGGCAATAAAGTGGTCTCATTAATTTCATTTTTGGAAGTTACAGCATTCTAACGAAGTGAAAGAATATTTTTTAAGTGAAGCTATAGTAACCGTCAGCAAATGATTCTATAAAGTCAACAAAGACAGCAATAATGCTGCCATATTTCATTGTTATTTCCAGAAAAACTATTTTTTTATGATGAATAGTGCATAACGAGTTCAACTACAGTACAAAACTAGTTTAGTGTGAAACCGCTGCCTCAGGTTGAACAGTAAATATTGGATCCTCTCTTTTAAAGTAAAGGGAATATGTGGTTAAAAAAAGGAAAGTTTTAAATTTACATATAATATTATTTTATTGAAAAATGTCGATCTTGATTCGAAAAGGAATTTAAGAACTATAGGCCTAGTTGAACTGAAAAAACTCAAATTTCCACTGTCATTATAGAATTCCTTAGCTTAATTAGGTACTATATGAACAGGCCTAAGAAAACCATTATACGGTTTCTTCGATTTCTCGATAAAGAGAAATATGACAAATAGAGGTTTGGATATGGTTAGAGAGAGAGAGAGAGAGATATGCATTTTGATTAAATTGGAGCCCGTATTTTATTGTAATTGCTTTAAAGTGGGAATCAAATATTTAATCGTATTTTTATATTATTGTTTATTTTACTTATTTAAAAATACAACGTGTAAATGAGTCCTTTTATTCTATCTTAAAGAAATATTTTGAGAAAAACAATGATAAGGAAATATTTATGTTAATTTGAGAGTAAATATTAAATAAAAAAGTTTAAGACATAAATATGATAATATATAAACGTTATATTTCTTTTATATAATTAATATATATTTTATAGTTATTAAAAATGTGGTGTGAATATATTTATATTTCTATGCGAGTGAGACCTTTTACAAAAGCTCTTTGTTAAGTTATGATCTCCTTAGTGCATGTTTGGTTCTAATTTTTCTTTTAAAAAAAAATCAATTTTTTGACCATTACTTTTTTAAGTTATTCGTTATGTTGGAACTCACTTTTCTGTCTAACCATCAAAATATCAATTCTGTCGAACACGCCCTTAACTAAAGGTTGAACCCCAATCTTAAGGATTCCCCACTGTCCCTGTCCTGGAGTATCGTGAGAGAGGTAAATCGCAGGTTATGCCTTCAAGAGTATAGAGTAGAAGGCTGTTTGTACACTTGCACTTACCCAAGAGTCAAATCCATATTTCAGGATTCAAACTCTTGACGCAGCAGCTTCAAACAAAGTTGAATTTCTCCACCCTCCCTTTTTATCACATGGAGTTGTGTCCTCTTGGAACACGCCTTTAATTAGCTTGGGGTCTTGTTGCCCGACCTCTACGACGTGAAGGTCACTCGACGCGACGATGCCAATATCATCTTCTGTGCCCACTTCAGGACAAGCAAAAAATCCAGTCCACAGACCCGAAGCTTCTCATTTCCATTTCCTCTCTCCAAATGAATCTAACTGAGAGAAGAAATGCAATATTCCTCTCTCCCACCATTTCAATTTTCATTCTCATCATAATTTCATTGGCACCGTATTCCACTCTCAGCATCAGATTCCCAGATCAGATCTCCGAAATTCCAAAGGAGCCATCCAATCGGCCCTTGAAGACAGTCATTTTCGCCCTTGGCAGCTTCTGGAGGTCGGAGGCCCTTTTTGGATGCTTGGACGGCGTCGTACGAACCACCGCCGGTTATGCCGGCGGATCAAAATTGAATCCGGAGTACCGAAGCTTGGGAGATCACGCCGAGAGTGTGCAGGTTACTCATCTTATTTTACTTGTATCTGCGTAATAACCTGTGAATCTGTTCTTTGTTTGCTATATATATTTATTGTGTATTTTATTTTAATTTCTCAAGAAGAAAATTATATATTTCATTAATTTGCTGCAAAATTGTAGCTATTTATAAATTGGTAAAATAAACGCTAACTAGTATTTATCATGACTAAGAGTGGTTTTTGTGGCTAAGTTTCTTATTTCAATTAAAAATGCTGAATGAGAATGCGAGTTGGTGTGTAGTTCTGAGAACAGTAAATGCTGGATAAATTAGTGCAGAAATTATATTCTATTAACAAAAACACTAGCATGCAAATGCAAATAAAGTAATGACTTACCAAAACAATGATATGTGCATAATAATGAACAAAATCACTACTTAGTCAAGCAGAGAGAATGCATAAATTAGAAGGAGATTGTTGTCGATTTTATCCCACAAATGGACGGATCGTAACAAGTGATAATGTGAACCTTTTGAGTCCGAATTATCGTTCTCACGAGGACTATTTTCTAGCACTTAATTCAAATTTTTTTCTTTTAACTACTATTTGATGGAAACAGATTAAAAGTTGTAAGATTCGAATGATTTGAATTTTAATCTAAATTCTAGAAAATAAATGAATGCTGACACAATTTTATTTATTTATTTATTTATTTTTGTTTTTTTTTTTTGTAAAATCCAATAATTAAAGGACGTTATGGTAGAATAATTTCACCCATTGATCACCTTTACATCTCAAATTAAGACTCAATTCTAATGTAGTATTTGGTCGAATTCTCCTATTGTATTCAATTTACCCCTCTCGTGTTCTCATTGAGCCTATTCAACTAATTAAATTCCATATTTATGCAAATTTAACTTAGTTAAATGATTTCTTCGTCCTAGGAATTCAATTATGACCTCAATAAATGACATATATATCTCTACTCGTTATATCAATGTAATAGATTTTACTACATGGTCTAAATCCTAAACTCATATCTCTATTCGTAAAGAATTCACAAAATTCATCAAATTATTGATCAGGTAATTTGATGCAATCAATCCATAGCAAAAATCAACACATTGAAGAATTAAAAATCAAGAATATTAATAAGAAGATATAAAGGATCTCAAGTGGGTTACATTATTCACCCTAATAGTGGATTTAGTTACGCATAATAAAAGAAAAACAACAACAAATTGTCTTAGAATACATCACCGGATTTTGAATAAGAGTATGTAGAAGAAAAAGTGGATCTTGCACCAAGAGTTCCTCCTTCCAATTTATGCTTCATACGATGAATTTGACGTTTTCTTTTTCCTTTAAATCTCTCCCCCTTTATTTCAATAAGTGTTCTTGCCTCTAGAATATGTGTAGAACCCCTTTAAAGTGTGAGAAATCTCGTATTTATAGGTTCCTTACCGTGTTGGAAGAATAGGTTTTCATATGGATTCAAAAACGGGCCGAATTGTACCCTAATGCATCTGGGATGTGGCGCTACGGCGCCTGGAATGCGGCGTCGTAGTGCTGCGTCATAAAATCGCTGCAGCACCACCTCTCTGAATGTCCAGGTGCCACTTTTCGAACAGACAACACGTACCTCTTTCAGTATTTTTAGCATAATTTTCTCTCTCGATATCCAATTGAGGCGATTCAAGATGTGTTGGAAAGCTCTCTCAAAGGGCTACAACTTTGCTTCAGACGTAATTCTCCGATTCGATCATTTTCTATGTAAAAAACGGGTCTTAATGTGAGCCCGAAATTCCGGAGCATAGCTTTTCGGTTGGAAATTGATTTGTGATCATATTTTGCCTAAATTTGATCTCTTTGACATCTTTCTTCATCCAATTGACTCCCAACGCTTTTGAATCTTCATCTTGAGGTTCGACACAACTTTTGAATATTTGCACTTTAGTCCCCGAACTTTAGATTTTATACAATTTAGCTCTTTTCTCCAATTTTGCCTATTTTTGCTTCTTTCCTTCAAATCCTTTTCCTTCATAAAATTTTACCTATTAAACATAAAATACAAACATTTAGGATATAATTTGTCGAAAGAACCATCAAATATCGCTATTTAAGGTACCGAATAAGTGCATAAAATACAATTATCAAATACCCCCAAACTTAAACATTTGTTTGTGCTCAAACAAAACTATAAACTAAATAGCAGTAAACGCACAATTATGCAAAAATATTTGGTTGGACAATCTAGCTTTTCACATGAGGATTTAAGATTTAAGTGTTAATTCCGCAAACATACTTCAAAGTTACAACACCAAACTAATATTCACTCTTTCAATGCAAAATCGACGTGTGTGCATGAAGAATAAAGTAGATATTAATGAATTCACAAGTTGTTCCAATTCCCGACCTTAATGGTCATATATGTCCACTCATCATTCGTAAGATTCACACACCCCCAAACTTGTTCTTTTTCACTCCTTTCCAATGTGTAATCTAAAGTTGAATATTTCATTATTATCCTCACCCTCTCGAGTTTAGGTGGACGTTACTAGTTGCAAGTCAACACTTCAATGAACAGGGATTCTGCAATTATTTGATTGCTTCGACCGCCACAACTCGACTAGCTAATTATCCTTCATTGAAAGTCAGATTCCCTCAAATAAGTGTTGGGCTTAACCAATGTATTTAATGCTATTGCTCTTTTCATGCACTTGCTGTTTCTGATTTTCACAATTATTTATTTATTTATTTATTTTTTTGCATTCTCTCCATTAAGCTTTCTAGATGACCCGTGTAGTAGGTTTTAGGTCGATGACTCCCAAATCAAATGATTTTAGGGCACCAGATTTTAAACACCCTTACAGGCTACTGACCTGAGTAAAAAAGGCTTCGAAGAGAACCAATTTTTGTTTCAAGTGCAGTTTCATCTTTTATTACCTTCTAAATGACCCCTGTAGCGAGTTTTAGGCCGATGACTCCCAAGTTAGACAACTTCAGGACACCATGTTTTAAGATATCCTTACAGGCTTAATTACTTGAGTCATGAAGATTTCAAAGAGAAGTTTTTAGATTTCAAATGTATATGCCTTGATTAGTGCAATGCCCATTTTACACATTTATTCAAACAAATTGACCTCCAACTTAAGATTTTCGCCTCATTTTATCATGTTAATTTAAGACAATCAACACATAAATTTTCACACCTGGAATCTACATTCACATCCGCATTTTTCTACAACTGTAAAATCACCCCCAAACTGTGCTAAATTTGGTCTAAAGATAGATAATTTATTATGGTTTAGGTAAAGCATATATGTCTAATTAAATCAACCTATATAACAAATGAATCAACTCGTTTCACCATAGTGTCAGACTCAATTCTTGTGCACGTATAATATCAAGTTTTGCAAGGTTGAGCTTCAATTAATCTAGCATGTATTCTATCCACAGCTCATAAACCAACACCAAATCTCAAAGTAAAACGTAATTGTAAGCCAAACTATCCAACTCACACAAAAATTTTAGGTAGGCAATAAGGCAATTAATAATAATACACTCCCCCAAATTTAAACTAAACATTGTCCTCAATGTGAAATTTAAAGGAAAATGAGGAGGCTTCTCTGAAATGTCCGTATTGCCTATAATGTTGTGGTGCCTTGGTGTTGCATTTGATCGATTATTCTTCCACATTCTCCCTCAAACTTGAGATTTATCCCATTTTCTCCATGTCTATGGTGGTTTGAGTATTCCACGACGTCATATTTCTGAAAAATCTAATTTGAAAAATTTAAACTCATGTAACAAGAGTTACTTAGCTCAAACTTCTAATAACCACTTAATTACTTAAAGACCTATGGGTAAAAAGGGGAATGAGTGATGATTCCTGAATAAACTATAAATTAAATTATCCTGGAACTTTGAAAACAAAACAAAATAAAATAAAATAAAAGTTTGGGTTACCTCCCAAGAAGCGCTTCTTTTAAATCATTGACTTGTGCAACTGATTTATCATGGTGGCTCAAACCAAGTTATTCCATTATTGTACTTTGTGCAATTTTCATTCATGCAGCCCTTTTTTGCTCTCCAGATTTTGATTTGTCTATTCTCATCTCTACCAAGAAGTTCCCCATGATTTGGTTTTTTGTTCTGACAGCTTCGTTGATCAAGTGGCTCTTCTTCATCAATTCTACAACAATCATTTTTATTGGGAGGTTTCTCATATTGGGTGTAAATATTGAATATCTCCTGCTTGTCCTCCACCTCAAGATTAGTTCTCCCTTCTCCATATCAATAAGGGTTCGTCCCGTTGCTAAAAATGGTTGACCCAATATAAGTGGAATGTCTTGATCTTCTGGTATGTCTAATACAATGAAATCCACATGAAATATTAAATTTTCTATTTTTACGAGCACATCCTCAACTTTGCCACGTGGCCTTGCGATTGTTCTATCAGCTAGTTGTAGCGTTATTGATGTTGAGTTGACTTCACCTAGTCCCAATTTCCTGTAAGTAGAATACGACATTAGATTGATACTAGCACTAGTGTCACACAATACATTAATTGAACAAGAATTTCCAATTGAAATTGTTAAAGTAAAACTCCTTGGATCTTTCAATTTAAGAGGCAATTTTCTCTGGACTCTTGCACTACTTTCCTCAGTTAATGTCACAGTTTCAAACTCCGGAAGCTTTCTTTTCTTTGTCAACATCTCTTTCAAAAATTTCGTATAGCTTGGAATTTTTAGTATCGCATCAATGAACGGAACATTGATCTGGAACTTCTTGAGAACATCGAGGAATTTTTCATAATTTGTGTCTTGTTTGTTCTTCTTGAGCTTTTGAGGAAAGGGATTGGGCGACATGTAAGCTTTGTCTAGACTTGATGTTTTGACAGCTGATGTTTCTGTACTTTCTTCATTTTCAGTTGCGTTTGGTGCAAATTTTTCTACCCTTGTAGCTTCATCAATCACTTCTTGGTCATATTTTCTTTAGGTCTCTCTGTAGAGATCTCTGGTGATTGTACCTCACTCTT